TACTAACAATGAACACAAATTTGATGGCATCTAATCAGATGACTGGTATCCAGTAATAACCAATTGTATAAACCCAATTAGTAAGATAGCATTTTTTATAAATCAGTTAGATTCAATGGAAGCAAAAGAAAAAAAAAATTGTATTTCATGTTCAGATTGATGTATAGGTTGGCTTAGCGTAATACTAACTCATATGTGGCCTGAATATGACTAACAGTGTCTAATTCAACAAATCATGGTTGTGTTAAAAAGGTTGATGACTTCTAAAGTGATATCCTGCTTAAACAGTTTTTCAAACTTAAATTTGTTACATTCATAGAACACATTAAGCAAACATCAAATCATATATGAATTGGGCAATGTGTGAATCATATTTTATACTCATAAAGGTTCCCCACCCTACAACATATTAAAGTTATGCAGCACTTTAATTCAAGGGGATAAGGTATTTCAAAGTACAAAGGATCTGCCTGCCGCTCTTCAAACTTAATGTGCCTTTTCCTAGGTTTGCATTGCAGCTGCAGAGGACAGGCCCAGGATCTTGGGGAAAGAAGCAGAAGACTCAAAGAATGGCAGGCTGGTGCTACCTAGTGACAGTGCCCCTACCCACTTCAAAATACTTTTCTCCTTTCAAATCTTTACAAATTACAGTACATGTAGTCCTTGACTTATGACAACTGAATTCAAAATTACTGTTGTTAAGTGAGACATTTGTTAAGTGAGTTTTGCCCCATTTTATAAACTTTCTTGCCACAGATAAGTGAATCACTGCAGCTGATAAATTAGTAACATGGTTATTAAGTGAATATGGCTTCCCCACTGACTTTGTCAGAAGGTTGCAAAAGGTGATCATACGATCTTGGAACACAGCAATTGTCATAAATATGAACCAGTTGCCAAGCATCTGAATTTTGATCACATGATTATGGGGATGCTGCAAAGGTCATACCTTTGAAAAATGGTCATAACTCACATTTTTCAGTGCTGTTGTAACTCACTAAACGAACTGTGGTAAGTCAAGGACTACCTGTACACTTTTTCTTCATTATCCCTAATCCAACTTCTCTGAACCACAAATCCTAGGTTCCCTTCTCATCTCTCTTCACAAAATAAGTCCGTTTCCTCTATTCAACATTTTTTTACAACCATTTTTCTGTCCTTTGCCTTCCATCCTCTATTTCCTGCTTCTCTCAAGCTTTATTTATCCCCCCCCCCAATAAACACCGCCCCGATCCCGGGAAGCTTCTCAGTTCTTCCCCATTTGCATTCATCCTCCTATGGATTCAATCCACCTCCTTTCTCTTTCCTCCTCCTGCCCTCGGGATGTCTTCGTTTACCTGCTCCACGCGAAGGAAATTTGGCTGCCTGCCTTTTAAAAGCGTCACCCCACCCCAGGCGGCTAATTTTCTTTCGCCTCTCCCTCCGCGAATCATACCTACGATCTCCTTAGGAGCCAGGTGTTTCCTCCCCCCCACCTCCCTATTACTGCACTTTGGCCAGGCTCATTTCCACGGGTGAGAGGCGTTTTCAAACCATCATCCTCGCAGCCGCTAAGGATGCGCCAGGACCGCTATGTCCGTTGGAGCGGCGGGGGGGGGGAGCTCCGGTGTGGCTAGGGTGGGNAATTTTATATACACATGGCTAAAGATACTGCTTATATGTATAAGGAACTAGCTGATAACCCGGCATTGCCCAAGGATTTATTTATCGGGGAGAAATGTCTGGATCAAATGTAATTTCTAATGTTGGATTTTCCCCCTTACCGAGGCTTCACAGTACACCACAAGAGGGCTCCTTCTGGTAAGGGGGAAAATCCAACATTAGAAATGTTGGAGTTTTAGGGTTGTCTTACCACCACAGTATTTTTATCCACAGAGTAAGTCATCTGTGTACCATGTTTGGTTGAAATTGCTTGTAGCATTCCAGAATTATGCTGGAACACACACACACACACACACACACACACACACACACACACAAAGAGAGAGAGAGAGAGAGAGACAGACAGACAGACAGAAGATAGATATTCACTGGAGTAACTAAGTCCAAAAAAAGAAGCTGCAAAAGGAGTAAAAAGGAGCAAAGGCAGCAGAAAGAAGACAGTAAAGGGAGCAAAAAGGAGGATATGCTGTTTGCCGCTGGTGCTGCTGCCACTGCTCTTTGGGTTTCAGGGGCATTGACAGTGTGAAAGGGCATGTAAGATAAGTAGGTGTGCAATGGGGAGAGAAGAGAAAAGGAGGGAAGAGGAGAAAGAGTGTAAAAAGAGGGATACAGGGAGGCAAATCAGCATGATGCCTACCTAGGCAGGAATGGAAGGGAAATGACAAAGCTCATCTCTGGTCGGAAGAAATTTGACAGCCCTGCCCTAATAGGTGCTACTGATTTTGCTGATAAATAACATTATTCAAGTTTTCACAAAGGTATTATATGCAGTATCCAGGTACAGGGATATGACCTTGGCAGTCTCACTTGACCAAACTAGGATCAAAAGATATAATTGGCTATCAATGTAGTGATGATATCAAACCCCAAACAGGTGGATGACCTCACCCAGCAGTTTCATGTAGATGTGAAAAGGAGGCGAGAGAATAGAACCCTGCAGTACCCCACAAAGGGGCAGTGATGGGACTGTCTCTCCCTTTCAACTAACACTAACTGGAACCAGCCCCATGAAAAGGAGGAGAATCACCATGAAACAATGTCCCCAATTCCCAACACATGGAGCTATTTCCAACACATGGAGCTATCGTGGTCATTGGTATTGAAAGCCATTCAGAAATCAAGAACCACAGGAATGAATGTACTACCTTCATCCTGACTCTGCCACCAGTCATCTATAAGCATGACCAAAGCTATATCATTATTAAATCCCAGTTTGAAAACTGATGAAAGCAAGTCTAAATAATCTGTTTCTCAAGAGTTCTCATTGGCTGCAGACCAACCATCTTCTCAACAAACTTCCCTCAAAAAAGAGGGTGGGAATCAGTTGATAGTTTTCAAAAACTGTAATAGGCTGTGAAAATCACCTTGAGAGATGGGAGGAAGAAATGTAACCTGAATAACTTTCCTAAAAGAGAAATCTGAATCCAGGGCAGGAATGGGGATGGAGACTGTGTCTCAGAATTACTGTTATCTGGGACATAAAGGCGGTGGCGGAGGGGAATGCTTTCAGATCTGCAAGATTCTGTTATTGTCACCTTACAATAAAAGTAATTTTGGTTTCCTGACCTGGACTATTTTGAAGAGGTAACAAAAACCATTAGCTCCAAGGAGGGGCTACACCTTGTCTCTCTAAAGGCAGGAAGAAGACTAATGCCACAGCATGGGCTTGACTGTGGCTTAATCTTAACCATTTTTGTTACCCAGGAATGGCTCAGATCCAGAAACACATGGTCAAATTAACCCTCCAGAAAACCCTCTCTATTTCCTCAGGAGTCACCAACTCAGAGTCATCCCAGATAATACCAATAGACCATGGCCCAGCTACTGTACCTTGGCTCATCCTGCTCAGTCAGAGTCTGAGTTGAAACAAACCTGAACAGTTTTATCCAACAGATAGCTTGAATAGTCCCCTTGGATCATCAATAATCTGAACTCTTCCCAACCCAATAGGGTACAGTAAACAACCACTGGACAGCTATCAATGGACAAAATACAGGCAAAGAAGTATTGATGTTTTCCTGTGTTTATTGCTATAAGATAATCCCTAATACAGGCTCATACACATACCAGAGTCAGAGTCATGTGAGTCTTTCTCCCATAGGACTCCAGACAGCACTTGTGGCACTTTATCTGGAATGATTTAATTTCTTCCTTCAGAAAGTAGTAACACCAGGGAGTTGAAAGGCAACCAGAGATAGATCTATCCATAGCATTAGTGATTTCCACCATTTTCCACCAAGGAAGTGACACACAGCACTCCTTGCTGCCTCCACAATATCTGCACACTTTCCAGATGCCAGACCTTACATGAGTAGTCTCTCATGAACTGCAGCAACCATCAAGACTTTAGCTGTACTTAGGGCTTTGCTGTGGGCCAGGGAGCTGATAAGTACCATGCTGCCCCCCACCCCTGAAAAGTTCTTCAGTGGAGGATTCCCACAACCCTGGAGTGGATGAAGGTGGATAAAAAAAATCAACAACAAAACTCAAAGCATCCACACAAGCTAATTCAACAAATTGCTCATCTGATCACTATCTTGACATCTACAAAATATAAGGCAGGGGTATATAGTATAATTAGTTTCTACAGATCTTTTATATGTGTAGGAATGTGAGAAAGATTTTTATTATGTTTGTTGACAAAGTTGATAAAATAGAAAATGTGAATTGTGGAATGTTTACTTGAATATGCAGTTCAATAGCTGGAAGCTGAACATGATAGGAACAGTGCACAGCGGAATTAAATCATGCTTGAGAGTTAATGGAATGCTTAGTGAATGGTTCAACATTGAGCAAGGGGTGAAAAAAGAATATGCAATTTCCTCTTGATTATTTAATACATATATGGATAAATGCAAAAATAATACTCATGCTAACTTTAGAAGGTCTGTTGACTACAGATGCAAATGTAAGACATCATGGTAGATGAAATTGATGAAATCCTCAAAGGAGTTTAAATAAAAGGCAATATATGTGGTGGTGCATGAGTATGGAGAAGTAAGGTTGGTTTGGGTGAATAGTATAGGAATAACATAATGGATATAATGAATAACAATATAAATTAGATAAAAGTATGCCATATCTAATCTTCTTCCTTTTTTATTCTTTTGGCTTGATCCTATTTGTTTTCTTTGGTTTGCATATTGCATAACCCCCAAAGGAATACCTGAAAAGGTCTGCATTTATTTGTAAGCTGTCTTGACATGAATTCACTATGAATAATTGTATTATACCTAGTATTTGTTTTTTTTGTACTTTTCCATTCATTTTGATTATATTTACTTTTTTTGCATTGTATACACTAACAGGATGTGGATAAATTAAATACCTTACCTACAGTATTTAAAATTTTCTTTTTTACAGGTATCTCCGGCTGTATGGGAGAAATTTTAGTAAAGAAGATCACGTTCTTTTCATTAAGCTGTTGTATGAACTAGTAACTATTCCAAAATTGGAGATCAGCATGATGCAAGGTTTTGCTCGACTTTTAATAAACTTGCTGAAGTAAGTTTTGCTTTACACCATTCTTCTATCTATATCAGGGGTCTCAAATTGGTGGCCTGTGGGCAGAATATGTCATACACAGGCCACATCCATCTTAGCTCCAAAAGGGAAAAAACATCGCAAAATGTCACGTGACAGCAAGCTGACACTGCATGTTTGAAACCCGTGATCTATATAAATCATAATCCATAGCTGGAGATATGGGTAGTTGTTGTTAAAATTAAGAGGGTCAACAGATTTTGTCAAGTTTGATTGGTATTTTGTTTCATGCTGGCCTTATATAAGTAATCAGAAGTAGCAAAAACCTAGCCAGACTAAAGCAGCAAGTACTCTTACTTTTTTTCTAATTCTGGGGAAAGATTAAAGACTTGGTCAAGTTCAAACTTACATTTTCAGAATGCATTAAAAACCAACCACTATATATCTCTAATTTTTGCATTTATCATCCTTAGATGTATTGTAATTTCTGTTGCCCCAAATTACACTGGTTTATGCTAATTTAAGTATAGAAAAGGGTTTTGCTAGGCAAGGATCTATATCAATGAATATGTTGAGTGCCAGTTTTGATGTAATATTCATATCTCAATGAGAAATACTGTAAATGAATAGTTGGATAATATTGTGGTTTTCTAGCATTACGTTTCTTGCTCCCCCCGCATTAATCATACATAAATCTAAATGTAATTAATTTATTTGAAAGCTTGATTAACAGATANGTGCTTTCAAACTGCTAGGTTGGCAGAAGCTGGGACAAGAAACGGGAGCTCACTCCGTTATGCGGCTCTAGTGATTCAAACCGCTGAACTGGTGAACTTCTGATCGACAAGCTCAGCGTCTTAGCCATTGAGCCACCGTGTTCCTTTAAGGGATGTATATACTGTATTATTAAAAGTCTTGCATCTATTTGTAATCTTCAGTTGGGCAAAATGCTGCATCATACGGCAAAACATGGTCAACTAGGCTAGCTTACATAATGTTGAGACCCATTGCCTCATGGAACAAAGTTTGGGAAATTTCTTGCTGCTTTGCTGCTGCTATTTAGTGCAGCAGCACTAAATTACTGCTAAATGATCATTTTTAATATTTCTTGACAGCTTCCCATAAGTTACAACAGACCCCCTCAAAAGATACTTTAGATCCTATTTCAAAGTTACTGCCGCTGCAGCACCTCCATGTTATTTGCCCTTACAACTGACCGCTGGAAAGTTGTAGCATCTCCCCCTATCTTCCCCCACCATCCTACCCCGCCAGGTCCCTGCAGACCCTGGTCCTGTTTCCACCCAACCCCACATTGGGTCCCTGCAGGGCTTGGTCCTCATCCCCCTCCCATTACCTATCGCACACTTAGAAGATCTCCTGAGTTCTGGACCTCATGTTGGGTAAGAAAGGAAGGTCATGCCATTCCTGGACTACAAAAAAAGCCTTAGTACTGCAAAGACTGTGTTAAGAAATCAGGGCAGATTGCTCCATCTCTGGACTGTGTGGCCCTATCATAGAAGTGGCCGCTATTTGAGTGCAGCTTTCATGACATGGCCCAGAACATTAAAGGATGGAGTGGTGTGATCTCCTTCCCCAATGTGTGGTTTTGAGCTCTGGAGGTCTTCAAAAGGTGGAGATGCGATGGGTGACAGGTAGTGGTGGTGAGGAGTCCCAAGTCCTGTGGTGAGCTGCTGGGAAGGGAAAGAGGATCTGATATTGGGATGGGTGGGTGGAAAGCAGGCCCAGGGGCTGTGGGAGCCCCAAGTGACAGGAAGTGGAGCATGGGATATCTCAGAGTGGGGAAGACCTTGAGACACTCAATTCTTAATGACCACATCAGCAGGTGTGGGTTTTTAAGCGAGGAAATCTCACTTAACAGCCGTCGCAACATGCAACCGTAATGGGAGGGCTCATTACAGTCATAGTTCAAGGACTCTCTATACATTTTGAATAAATCAAATAATTGTTTAAAAGCAACTTATACCATGCCATCATAATAACGAAGGTGTATACACAAGAGTTGATTTCTTTGTTACCTTGGTTAGTTTCTAGTCTACTGTGCTCTTTTTAATGGTAAAAAAAAGGTTACTAGAGTATGCTGGAGAAATTAATATTTTGTATAAATCTTGAACGTCATTGTAAGTGACTTTGTTTACAAGAAAGATTCTTAGAGTTACATTGATAAATATAAATTACTCACATGGTTGCCTTACAAAGTTGTTTTGAACTTGAGTAGATGTAGCATGACATTACTTCTCCAGTAACCATGGGTTCTCCCTGACTGTGTTTACAGCAGAATGTGTTTTCTTTCTAACATGAGTTATAGACTAACGCTGTCACAACGTGCTGAAACGGTGCCCAAATATTTGGTTTGGCTTCTGAAATGTCCTGTGACTATAGAAGATAACCATATTAACACATCCTAGTGCATTGTAATTATATTGTTGTCATTATGTTTATTACATTTTTATTTATGTTTCTAAGATGAAGTGATGTTATTTTTGAATTTTCAATGTTTGAAAAAAATAGATTTACTATATAAGATCATTCATATATCAGTTTCAATTTCCAATGTCAGTTTGTGGTCAAATATTTGAAATCTGAAGCATAATTTTCATGAATTCTATGGTGTGATGATAAATGTCCTGACTGGTACATGGGCAGTAGATAACAGCCTGCGGTCAGTAAAGAGTACTTGTTACAGTTAGTTGGGCAAAGTGAAGTTATGATGCATAGCAAGGAGTTATAAGGTCAATAAAATGGCTTGGTCTGGATATCTGAATATCAGAACCTTGGAATATAGGAGCAGACCCATAAGAGCTTATAAAAAATCAGTTGGAATCTACAACAAGCACATTTCTTAAAACTGAGTCTTACAGGACATACAACTTTTACTTCACATGCTAGCTGCATTGAGAGTAGGAACAATAAGCATAGTCTTATTCTCTGCTTCTGTATAGCATTTGGTGCTATACAGATCTCCCATACAGCATTCCTGACCTGAGGTGTTTTTACTTTCCAATACTGTACTAAAGCATTAGAATCAAGATTGATTATGCTCTTTTATAGTTCTTTAACATCCCGAATGATTTGTACTTGTCTTTCTTATTTCAATTCAGATATTATAAATATTAAAGCTACCTCTTAAGGTTATTTATTGAAGTTAATTATACATAGTACTTTATAATATGAATGAGTATGAATGATAGATTTGTGTGTCCCTTATGATAAAACTAGTAAGTCCTCTTTAATAGCAAGGTGTGCACCAAATTACCAATTTAACACAAAATAGTTACTGTATTTTGTCCTTTATCTTCTTTGTGATCAGAATCAGAGCCCAGTCAGTAGATGGTTTCACAGCTGGTTTATTCATCCAGAGCATTATTGGATTCTTGTATGGCTCAGAGGATGTTGCATTAAGTTTTGGGGTGCCCCATCTCCAAGATACAGAACCAAACCTGCATTGCCTGGCTGAAAATAATGTGTTTAGTGAGGAAACATGGCTGAGTTTGAAGAAAAAGAGACTGGAGGATGGAATCTGATGGAATGTAGTTTGGATTCCCAGGAGGGAGGGGCTGCATTCCAGGGAGCCAAGAGGCTGCGTGTTTAGATAGTTTGGTTGGGAGAAAGAGAGGTAATACAATTTTTTTAATTAAAAGTTTTTTATTTTTTCATTTTCATAATATATAATCACATGTATACTATTACATAACCAACATCATATTGTATTATTAAATGTTTACATCAATTC